CGCTTATGTAATCTATATCCAATTTAACTTGTAAGGAGAAATTGGAAAATCCATTGTTAATAAGTCTCGTAAACATGTGTATGTGTTTATATAAATAGGTAGATGTTTATATAAATAAGGAAAAAGGCAGCAACGGAACGCCTCAAATTCCCGGACACAGCAATGCTTTTTAGATTTGTTATCTATAATTATGTGTTGACGATGTTTTTATCGATACATCGATAACACTAATTAACATCACTAATTACTTCATTATCTTTACAATAATACGTCACAAACAATGTTGAGAAGTGACCTAGCCTCGTTAGTGTATGTGTGCGGACCGCGTTATGCGGGAGGGAGCCAAGAAATGTGAACATTTACACTGACATGCCAAAGCCCATTTGAAACAACCTTTTCTTTAAGGGCAGTCATTGACCGCGACATTTGCTACGAATTTCTTTTATTGCTTTTAGCATGTATAAAAAGCCAAAAGGCATCGCTATTAGCTATTAACTGCTGACATTACATATAGCGTTCGATATGCCTTCCAATAAATATGTAACTAAATGTTATAAAATTCATAAGATTTTCTTGCGTCTTGTTACATAATATCATTCTATCGTAATAAATTTGTTATCGAGACACTTTATGTTTCATAATTATACAAATTAGATCACTGCCTACCGACACACGTGCTTTGGGGCTGCGATTTTTTAAAGCCATTGCGGGTTTTGTTTTATTTTTTTATATTTAATGCGTGCACCGAAATGGAATTAAAAGGTTACCATAATTTTCACGTATTGTGGTGTGTGTTTTTTGTTTTTTTCGTGTATGAAAGTGAATTGTAAGTTTTTGTGTGCCAGGATTTTCTGTAAGTCTGTACCTATTTGTATTTTGAAAAAAAAAAAAAAACTTTTGCTTCGAATTGTTGGTTTGAAAACCGCTTTTAGTTTCTGTTTCGTTTAAAATTTAAGCATTTGACAAAATGTCTTTTATCAAAAACAATTTAGTATCTTAAATTAGAAATGCTTTACTCTGATTTAGATTGCTGGAGTCCTTTTCGATTCGATTGTGGTAAAATACCTCTGTGAGACAAAAAGCCTTCGTAACCCAAAAAGGTATTTTACAATGTTTAATTCGCTAAATGTTGTCACTACCAATGTCAATATTTTTTAAAGAAACTCTTGATTAAACGTCAAACTCGTATGTAACATCATCCACTTGCCCTTATCCCTTATGGGTCGGTACAGTATGTGCTGCTCTTCTAAACATCTCTATCAGCCGGCATAACACTCCCTCTATAATAATACTTTTTCTACGTATGATTGTCAAGGCTGTTTCTACGTTGCGACGTTATATTATGATAATATGATATATGTTATCACTAAGTGTAAACAAACTAATCAATCAAGTGTTTTCATTTATACTTTTTTAATACGTAACAGAGTGTCATGATTTCTGCATGACTTGTTATGATAAGACAAGCTTTTACGATGATTTTAAACACATAAGTTTTTGTACAGTCAGCTTCATAGATCTATATTAATACTAGCTTTCGCCCGCGACTTTATCCGCGTAGAATTAAAAAAAAGTGAGTAGCCTATGTGTTCGTCCAGACTATCGTCTAAATTTATACCAAATTTCATCGAAATCCAGTGAGCCGTTTTGGCTACAAACTCTAACAAACAACCTTCCATGTAAACTTTTGCATTTAAAATATAAGAAATGAAAGATTAGTATTTTTTATGTATTTTAGTATGAATAACTCAAAACTATAGGGTCGTTTTCAAAAATTCCTTCACCATTATAAAACTACGTTATCAGTGTTTAACAGGCATTTTTCAGTTATTTATAATTTCACGCGGTCGAAGTCGCGAGCAACAGCTAGTAGCATTAAAAACCATGTATGTTTTCAAATTAATAAGCGAACGGATATGTGAATGTATATTTTATATAGACGCATACAAATTTCTGACACTGTACACAAATGTGTAGCTGACTGTACAATTTGAACAATGAAATCTTTTGAGTTATTACCAAAACGTATTGTGAATCTAAACATGAGATTACATGTTCGTACTTCTTGTTTTTACTGGCATTTTTGTTTAAAGGACAGAAAATCAATATTTTTATTCTGTAGTAGGGGAATTTTATGATATATAGCTGTTCCCGTGCGGTTTCATCCGCATAATATTATGAAAATTTTATGTTATTGTTTACATTTGTCAAATTATCAATAGCAAATGTCAAAATGACATGACATGACAAACCTTAGCAATTGCTTCTTTGATGTTGGCAGCAACTAATGGTTAGGATTTTTATCTAAAATCATTACCCCTAAGTTTAATGGCGTGAAAAAATATAGCCTAAAGCGTGATGTAAGCGTAGGGATTTTTATTACTAAAAGAATTATTCATAAATATGCTGTAATTGCTGACATCTTACGCAACAAAGAAGTGTGTGTTTACGCTTTATTATAATAGTATAGATTGACCATACAGGACAATCAAATCAATGTTATTTATGTATCCACATACAATGCAGTTATCGATAACTTCCTACTGGTCATTATCAATGTTGGAAAACGTTCTTGTTTATTATGTTTTTTTGTTATTATTAATAATTCAGACGTTATTACATCTAAATTATAAATCTATATATTATAAGGTTTGTATTTTTGTATGTATTGACAAAAATTACTCGGCGATAATTCCTTCACCATTAAAAAGCTACGTTATCGCTGAGTAACATCATAACTTATATCACAAATGCGAAAGATTAGATGGATGTTTGTTAGAGTTTGTAGCCTAAACGGCTGAACGGATTACGATGCAATTTGACACATATGTCGAGGATAGTCTGAATGAACTCGTAGGCTACTCAGTTTTGTTTTTTTTTATTCCATGCGGACAGAGTCGCGAGCGAAAGCTAGTCTATACTAATATTATAAAGAGGAACGATTTGTATTTTTGTATGTATTGACATAACTCAAAATCTGGACCGATTTTAAAAATTCCTTACCGTTAGAAAGGAAACTTATCTGTGAGTAATATTATATTATATTATATTAGGAGATTATGCTCAGTCAATTGACACTACTGTAATCTATAATATACTTCAATACATAATTAAATTGATAATAAAACAGTTGATTAGAAAAAACGATATTAAAAATTAGAGTTCAAAAGGTCAACATGTTTCCATAACTTGTGTAGCAACAATACGTATGTAAATAAATGAATATCGCAGGGCACGGCCTCAGTTAGTCAGTTGTAATTTATTGCTAGATAATTTTGTGAGTCAACACCTAATTTAACATGCTTTGTAACCAATTTGTTATTCATTGTTTGGTTAGGGGAAATCATAGCTTCTGTTAACCGACTTCAAATAATTATCAAAATCGGTCCACTAGCGGCGGAGTTATACCGTAACAAAAAAAAACATACAGACGAATTGAGTACCTCCTTCTTTTGGGAAGTCGGTAAAATGAAGTTCTTAATTCTTTTGTTTTTGACCGACTTCAAAAGAAGAAGGTACTCAATTCGTTTGTATGTTTTTTTATACCTTATTTACTACTGAGCCCAGTAATCAATGCTAAAAATCGATCCAAAAATGTTGTTTACTTACTTTTACGTTAGTTATGTGTGTGGAAGGGTACAGGTAGAGGTAGACCTAGAAAGAGATGGATGGATTGCGTGAAAGTTGACATGAATAAAAAGGGAGTGATGACTGAGATGACGTATGATAGAGTTATTTGGAGGACAAAAACCTGTTGCGCTGACCCTACGGGAGTAGAATAAGGAGGAAGATGATGACTTTGTATGAGAGAGTGGAAAAATTAATAGCCTTCTAAATAATTTAAGTTATTTATTTCTAGTGTTAGTAATATCTGTAAAATTTGAAAGTAGTGTAACTATCAAATACTTTCGTGTTTTTCAATTGGTCACAAATATGCATTTTAAGGTTATCAAAGCAATTCATTATTAAAATATTTTTATTTATATTTTTTTTATCACACTCGCAGGTGTCTTCAATGTTTTGTAACATAGGTCAGATAAATAAATTCATATGTTATAATCTATTTACTTCTTTATTCTTCTTAATATTTAAGTACTGCCTTGATTAACACATAATCACTTTCGTGAGACATTACCTTAAAGAAATTAAGGACGGGGCAAATATTTTTAATTTAAATATATTGTAATATTGCATTGTTTTTAATGCTTAGATAAAGTGAAACAGTGATAGAAATAAGATTTTAATGTAAATTTAACTTAAAAATAAAGAAATAGAGATACACCCTCTCCCTAGGTCCCTGACTAAAATGTGTTAGGAGAACAAGAGGGTGGCATGAGCCGTCCATAAAAAAAATCCGGTAACGGTGTCGATTAGTTAGTAAGAAGTTAGTTAAAACAGTGCGTAAAATAAATTAAGTACTCGATCCATGGACCCCTGATGGGTCCGAAACTAATCCGTCCTTAATTCTGTTTAACATAATGTATAATGTTCCCTTTTCAAGTCATCAGCATGTACATAAAAGATGTCACTTCTTAATGTTCAAGTCCTAAGATTTTTAATGGCGGTTTTGGCAAACAGTGCCCTGGGCGAGATTTGTACTGTCCCTTCTGTTTAGCGCCCTGGGCGGTTTAAAACGCTCTCCTAGCTGATGCTAAAAATTCGTATCGGTTTAGAAATAATCCAGACATTAAACGAGGCAATTTGCCTAAAAATACATTCTATAAAATACTTATTAATATGGTATGCATAAAGTACAGAGACGTAAGTACGTCCTAAACAGTTCATCTTGTCGTGTGGAGAATTTGTATGATTATCAATATTATGTCATACTATGTCATAACTCTGTATATTGCAATTACAATAAATATCATTGTTGTTTTTGTGATTTATGTTGCAATGATAGCGTTAGTGAGAGGTTAAATGAACCTCATTTGAAACGTTAACCAATATGGCGTGGCGTTCACCAGATCTTACTGATTTCTAATAATTTTGTGTTCCAGCTCAACCGTCTGATGACGGAGATCTACGAAACGGTCTCTGCAGCGTGCAATATGGACGAAAACAAACCTGGCTGCTTCCCAACAGAGCTATCTGATGGCAGTACTAGTGAAGGTACCTTTGTCTTATTTAGTTTTTTAATTTTCAATTTTAGAATCTAACGGCAAAACGCTGACCACTAACTTTTCTTGGCTGTATAGGAATCATGTCTATACCTTTTTTCTAACGGTTTATCTGGCTGTAAAGCTGTCGATGCTTTTTCTTAAGTGCCAGTGCCTTATATTGTGTGTAATTTTAAAATTAAAAAAAGAATAGTTTATGCCATATCATTTAAATGTTTTAAAAATATACCAAGGTGAAGACGCTCTACATTTAGAAAGCAACGATTTTAATGAATTCAGGTCAATTACGTTTATTTTTTATTGATATAGTAATTACTAAGTATTATGTAAATAATATTTATTTTCTGAAGCTAATTGTTAACCTTGGTTAGGTTAAAAGTAATCTTAAATTCGACATTATCGAATACATGCAACTTTTCGTGTAGTTGCATCAGCCCTTATCTTTTATAATTAACTTTATCTCAGACTATAAAAATTGTTTTTCCTGGTTTAGAAAGAGGTCATTCAAATCTTTGACACTTGGTTTTGTTTTTTCTTTTCAAATAAAATATAGCGTATTTCAATTGACAGAGACTACATAAATTGCCACAGTAAAAGCTTAAAGTAGCGGAAATTTTTTTGCATTAAAGCAATTGTTATATTAATTTATTAAAAACTTTGCAATGTTTTTTCAGAATCCGTAAGGCTGACAAGAAGTCTTACAGAAAAAAGGAAGAATTACGTCAGACGGGTGTCATCCAGGGTGGCATATCTTGACCCAAAGAATGTCAAAAGCCTTCGGTTCCGCCATCAGACCTCCATATGTTCGTACAAATCGGAAATAATAGACAATCCATATTCTACATTCCGTTCTTGGAAGAGTTTCCGAGCATCACAGTCGAATCTCGCCAAAGACAAGATGGCGGATGTGACAGATTCCAAATTCAATTTGACGGATTCAACCGGAAACGTGTTGTCTATGAAAGATGATTTGACAGCGAGTGATGATAGCATAGACAATCAGAGTATAGATGAAAAAACCGGCTGCGTCGATATCGGATTGCCTTTTGAGCCAAGAGAGAGGGGCTTGTTCAATATATGTCTGTTGGTCGGAATGAATTATATGACAGGACAGGCGTACGTGAAGAGTGTGTTTCCAAGTCAGGTTAGTGATTTAAAATATGGTTTAGAATCGCCGCTAAAGGAATCTAATAGAGTGGATTAACTGCCACACACAAGTTTTTCTATGATTTTAAGGGTCATCCTTAGTGATTAATTAACGACTCACTGCGACGGTTGACTCCTACGGGACTGTGAAGTAACGAATATATCTGCCAAATACTAAAACGATAAGGGTACGGTAACCTTCAAATTCCATTAAAATTTTCTGTCAGATTAAAAGCGGTACTAAGCCCGCTACACACAATCAGTTTTATCTGAACAGTCCGATCTTTCAGATTTATCTGAACGATTCCTCTGTTCAGATAAAACTGTCATATTAAACTGAGCATGTATGGCTTTACTAAGCGAAATGTTGAGAGCGGGCGCACATCTTTGACTATAGCATAACTGTGTCCGATTGTCGATTGTTTGCAGTTAATTCAACTGTTTAGTTGCACAGAAAATCGAGTAGTGTAACTTCCATATAAGCTTATAGGAATCAAAGCACGACTAAACAAAGGTGTGCGCTTTAAAGATTTCAGTATAGTGTTAGGAATAAAATTAGTACCGTGCTAAAGAATTGGCGCAACTCTAGATTATCCGCATACACGTCACGTCCCTAGCTGACAGTTGTCAATGTCACTAGAAGTATGGATAGATTGGCGCGTAACTTGAGTCCTGACGAGAAGTATTGCTCTGAGTTAAAAACGACAGTATCAATTAAATAAGTTGTCTAATAATAGGTCGTGTATTGTATTCCTTAGGTGGTAGTGCCAGCTCACATTGAGAACCTGGTGTTCCCGGAGACGCTGTGCGGTGCGCAGGCGCAGGCGGAGGGGGCGGAGGCCCGCGCAACCCAGCAGTATTCATTAGTACTAACTGATGAGCGTGGAGAACGCAGCTACGGGTCAGTTAAACCCTTTTTACACTGTTTTAGATCTTTTTCCACCGTGTTATGTATCGTTTGCGAGTAACTTGATTGCTTTTTTAAGGTTATAAAAGTACTGGTATATTCTGTTAAGGCGTCGCCAGTCGATGATCTAAGTTAGGTCTATAAATGTTGTCTTATTCGAAGTTGTTTTAAATAAATTTTAGTATACTAGCTTTCCAGTGACTTGGAATTAAAATAACAAAAGTAAGTAGTATGCGTTCTTCCAGAGTATACTATATCTATGCCAAATTTCATTGGGATCCGTTTAGCAGTTTAGGCTACAAAATAACAGACATCCATCCATTAAATCGTTCTCATTTTTCCATTATAACTGCGAAAGTTTAGATAGATGGATGTTTGTTAGAGTTTGTAGCCCAAACTACTAAATGCATCTCGATAAAATTTGACATAGATGTAAAGTATTGTTTGGAAGAACACATAGTCTACTTTCTTTTTTATATATTCCACGCGAACGGAATCGCAGGCGAAATCTAGTTTATAATATTAGGTGGTAGTAGACCCAGCTCCCCTGGAGAAGCTTTGTATATGTTCTATGGTTCCAGGTACTGCCGGCGCGTGTTGCCTGAAGGCGCCACCACTTGTTTGCCGCTTTGCTACTGTCTTATAGGCAAATATCGAGCGCCAGGGTTTTATTATAAGGTAACTTGACATAAATAGTGCCATAATAGTAATAGAACCTTATGTCTATAGCAATAAGGTTCAAACTTGTTTATATATTGCTGTTTGCTTTCTTTACCACTGCTGGTACTGGTCTTATCTCTGTCATTTCAAAGGCAAATGGAAGTTATTCATACATTCTGATGCGTGATAGTCCACTTTCCCTTCCCACTCTTTTTAAGGAATGTATGGTTAGGGATAGTAGACTTGATAAAGGAGGAGACGCTTAAGGAAGGGAAATATCAAAAGTCTGCCCTTGCATCGATTATGCATAATGAATCTGCAATTATGGATATCTAAGGACAGTCGTTTCGCTATTTCAGCGAAGTCAGATGAATGTGTTTTCGCCTTGTGTGTGTGCTTTCAACTAAATTCATTCGTATACTTAATCCCAGTGAATATTCAAATTATTTTTAATCGATATATTTTAAAACTACAGGTACTACAGGAGATTGAATCTCAACATGGCAACTCGGAATTAGAGACCAATTTACTTCTGCAGCAGCTATTCGAAAGCGATTTCCCCAACCCTGGGGAAGATATCACTATCTCGTATACTAAAGACCATCACCAGACCATGAATGACAGGAATTCAGTCAATTTAGGAGAGATATTCACAAAGGCAGGACCAGACCTGGTCTCCAGCGAATCTAGACCAAAGAAGATGCACAAAGTGGACAGCTTACCTGATAATGTAAAGGATATGCCGGAGTTTTATGATTTACATAATAATAATAGTCCTAAAAGGGTTCTGCTAGATCTGGAAGGACCAAGGTTTGTAAATGTTACTTATGTTTTTTTAAATTAAATAAAAGGAAAAAAGCACATGAAAAAGGAACTCATTAAGGTAGCACAAGGAATACGCAATAAAAAAGAAAAAATAAGATATGAACTGTGCTAAAAAGAGTACGGACCAAGAGTCTAGATGTTGATTTAAATTAAAAAAACGTTACTTATTTACACGCACACATAAATGGGATTATATTGATGTATGGATTTTTATTTTCTAAAGTCTAACAGATCTCGATGAGACTTAACACAGTCTAGCTTTAGTTAGAGAGTTCGCCCGCGTGAAATTAAAAAACTATAGCCTATGGTACTCACTAATAACGTAGCTTTCTTATGGTTCAAGAATTTTTCAAATCGGCCCAGTAGTTTTTGAGTTATTTCAATACATATAAAATTCAAAAATACAAATCTTTCCCTCTTTATAATATTAGTACTGATGAAGAACATAGTCTAGAAGAGCACAGGCTATTTTAATTCCGCGCGGACGGAGTCGCGAATACAATCTGACAGACGTCAAATTTTAATGAAATTTTTAAGTAAAAATAATCTTATCATTTACGCATTTCAATTTCATTACAATATTAGATTGTTAGTTTCCTTAATTTAGAACTAAACTATTAAATTTACGTATCTTCAAGAGTTCTGAACTTATGAAAAAATGTTTATTATGGACTATATGTTCTAGAACGAAGATCATAAAGAGGCCCATAGAGCCGCGAGTGGACGAGGACAACTTCTCCGTGCTGCTGGATTCCTTCGGCGCTGGTCTAGTCATCAAGGTGTTTAGCTCCTTACTCCTGGAGAGGAAGGTCGTGATTATGGGGAACCAGCTCAGGTAAGGATAAATACGGACATACAAGGCCCCGTAATTTTTTATCTTTTGAGAGATATATTTATTTGGATTGAGACTTATCTACAAGAGATTTTGGCCATTAAAAGAGTTAATTTTTAAAGTTTTGTAAGTTAAAGGCAATACCAATAATTTTTCAAACTGGTCCTTCGAGTCGGATTCACTTAAATTTGCTTTTTTTTATAACATGAGATGGCAAACGAGCAAGCGGCCACCTGGATCCGCCAAAATGGCGAAGCAACCGCTGCCCATAGACATCCGCAATTGCAGATGCGTTGCCTACCCTTATCCGACGGAGGAGGAGACGCACATAAAGAGGATATTTCCTCTTCCTATGCATCTCCTCCATCGTCAAATCCACTTTCCCTTCCCTTCCTCTCATAAGAAAAGGGTGGTAAAGAGAAAGGAACTTAAATTAGGCCTCCATAAATAAATGCGAAAGTTTAGATTTTAGAGAGTTTGATACCAAAGAAATTTTCACGTATTACATAGTTTTGAACACATAGGTTATTAAATTATTTAAACTTTCGTGAGACATTTTATAATTAATGATTTAACGGCTTACTTCAGACCCTGCGGGGGTCCTTCAGGCCGAGGGTTAAAGATATTGTATCGCGGTCGCGTTCGCCTCGTCCTGAAGGACCCCCGCAGGGTCTGAAACTGGTCGGTGCCGTCACTAAAAAAGTATAACGTGAGTAAGCCGTTAAATAATTAATTGCATAGGTTATTTTTTTAAACTGTTATGTGAGTTATATGTGTGTGTGTGTTAGCGTGGTGTCGTCGTGCATGGAGGGTCTGCAGGCGGCGCTGTACCCGCTGGTGTGGCAGCAGCCGCTCATAGCCAGCATCCCAGCGGACATCCAGCGCGAGGTGCTGGAGGCGCCGCTGCCGCTGCTGGCCGGCATGCTGGCGGCGCACACTAACACTGATCATGTGCAGTTTGAAGAGGTATTTATAAATACTATTATAATAAAGCGTAAACACACACTTCTTTGTTGCCAAAGATGTCAGAAATTACAGCATATTTTTGAATAATCATTTTTTTAATAAAAAGCCCTACACTTACGTCACGCTTTAGGCTATATATTTTCACGACATTAACTTAGGGGGTAAATATTTCGGATAAAAACCCTAGTGTGGGAAAGAGACCATAAGGTGCTGCCAACATCAAGGAAGCAAGATTGCCATAGTAAGGTAATTGGTATTTTGACATTTACAATTGAGAATTTGACAAATGTGAACAATAAAATAAAATTTTTATAATTCCATGCGGTTGAAACCGCACAGGGTTAGCTATTAGCATATTTAGGGGGGGGGGGGGGCAGGTCGATAATTAAGGGGGGAATATTAGTAAAAATATTTTTAATCCAAAACTGACTTTTGTGTTAATTACACAAATATCGAAAGATTGTTTGTTATGTCGGATGTAAGGAATCACATTATATTTTTGAATATTGCTTCTTTGTAAAGCCCTACACTTCAATTTCACGCTATATAATTTTCGGGAGTGAGTAAATAGTAAAAAATATAATACGAGAAAGGAACAAAAATTAAAATTATTAATTACAAGCCAATTATTAACAATAAATAATTGTTAGCCAATGGCAGACGCCTTTGGACTCTATTTTAACCTTTTTTTTCCGTTTTTTAGGGTATGTTAATCGACTTAACACATCCAAATAAAGTGTTATTCTACCAAGGAGACGAATCAACTATCCTACCTACTTCCAGTTACAAAACTCTTAAAACTTCCCTACAAATGGAATCTATCAAACAGAAAGACAAACAAGAAGACACGAAGACGAGAAATGTGATGATATCTGAGGCCTTCTTGAGGTTTTTTGTCGATATTTTGGGTGATTTCTGGAAGTTTTTTGTAGTTAGAGAACTGAAGGATGGTGAAATGGGCAAGAATGGTGTCGTTTTTGATGTACGTATACATTTTATGTTATTAAGAGTTCTATATTGTGTTTCAAATAAAAATTAAAATTTGCTTATGTTAAATTTTTTCTGCAGAAATTTAAAAAAATATGCTTATACTTGTACCATAAGTTTTCGATATTTTAAATCTGTACCAAATTTTATGGAGATCCTTTAAGCAATATTGGAGATATGTAGTTACAAAACATCCATCCATCTACCCATTATACTAGTACTAGTTTTGGGCCGCGACATTGTCTGTTTGTAAAAATAAAGTAAGTACCCTCTATGTTCTTCCAGAATACTCTACGGCAGTAATCGAGATCCGTTCAGAAATAGACTACAAACTAACATCTATCTAAACTTTTTCATTTATAATGTTAGTTAAATTCAAAAATATTGTATTACTAGTTTTCGACCGCGACTCCGTCCACGTGGAATTAAAAAAAAGAAAAGTGAGTAGCCTATGTGTTCTTCCAGAATATGCTCTACGTCTATGCCAAATTTCATTGAGATCCCGTTCAGCCGTTTAGGCTATAAACTCTTACAAACATCCATCCATCCATCTAAACTTTCGCATTTATAATATTAGTTAGAAGTTAGATTAGATTCATATTTCTATATACCTTTACAGAAAGAATCATTCGTCAAAAACGCATCATCAAAGCAGAACCAATATTTCCTAGAATGGTTCTCAGAGACGGCGATGTTCAACCATTTCATACAGAACATGGCCGCGAGCTATCCGCGGCTTGCTGACGGCACGCATTCAGCGTCTCTGCCCACCCCACACGACGCACAGCTCGTTGATACCCCACTACCAAACTACTATGAACTCTTCCAACAACGTTTAACAAGTAGAAACAAATCGGAACACAGAATAACTGACTCTAAAAACAATTATAAAAGTGCTGTGAATAAAAAAGTGAAAATGTTAAAAACGAAATTAAGAGAATTAGTGACTTAGTGAGGTTTTTACCTAAAGTGGAACTTGAAAGTGTAAAATAGTGTTTGAAAATAAAATAGTCTTCCTATAAAAAGGTTGAAATATCAAGAAAATAGGAACTAGTGAATAAAATATATATCGCAAAATGAAATTAATAGAAAACACTAGCTGTTGCCCGCGACTTCTGCATGATATTAAAAAAAATAATAAAAAGTAGCCTATGTCACTTACTGATAACAGCATTTTTAAATGGTGAAAGAATTATTGAAATCAGCCAAGGATTATTCCGATAACTATTCCTTTAACTCAAAAACTACAAGTAGTTTCTAAATAACTCAAAAACTACAAGTAGTTTTGCACTAACTACTTGTAGTTTTACTCAAAAACTACAAGTAGTTTTGCACTAACTACTTGTAGTTTTACTCAAAAACTACAAGTAGTTTTGCACGAACTACTTGTAGCTTTTGAGTTATTTCCAGTAATACAAAAAGAATCTTTCCTCTTATACCAATAGTGTAGATAATCTTATTACTTGGGCTAATGCGTGATAAAAAAAAAAACAGATGAGATTTAAAATGAAAAACTATTGTATTATTACTAAGATATATGAATAATGTTAATGTAAAAATCCGCATGACATATAGATTAGTGGTTTCTAGTATTATATCCCATGTTCAAATCCCACCAGATAAAATTCGATTACATTAATTGTTAGAAAAAATTGAATTTTCGTCATTAAAATTTTCTTAATATTAGACAACTTATTTAATTGATACTGTCGCTTTAAACTCAGAGCAACACTTCTCGTCCAGACTCAAGTTACGCGCCAATCTATCCATACTTCCAGTGACATTGACAGCTGTCAGCTAGGGACGTGACGTTTATGCCGATAATCTAGAGTTGCGCCAATTCTATACCACGGTACTAATTTTATTCCTAACATTAAGTAGAAATGTTACTTGTGTATTGAAAAATATATACTATCAATTTCTGAGAGCATTTGTCCATTTTAAAAGTAGAGGAAACTTATCTCATTTAAGTTTTTCAGGATTAGACTGAAAAATCCCAGTTTTTTGTACATATCTAAATTATAATTGTATTTTTATTTTTAATTTATAAAAATAATAGATTATATTGAGATATAACATTATCTCAATAGTTTAATCTCGAAAAAATCTTAAATATCGATCCATATCCAACGATTTCTTAGAAACATGTTTTCAATGCATAGTAAGAAACATGTTTCTAATGAAGTTGTTAATACTGCATATAACTGTTTTTACATTCCATAAATATTAAAGATAAATATAATTAAATGAACATAGAATTTTATACAAATGTTGAATTCAAAATTATCCAGTAATATTAGTAACCAGCATAAGCACAGCAGATTTTTATTGAATTAAGAGTTACATATGAATATTAAATTAGACATTTTTATTTTATTTGTTCAGTTTTTTTTTATAATATAAGGTGCCAAACGAGCAAGCGGCCTGAATCCACCGAAATGGAAAGCCACCGCTGTCCATAAACATCCGCAATTGTAGACGCGTTGCCTACCCTTAATTGACGGAGGAGACGCACATAAAGAGGATATTTCCCCTTCCTATGCGTCTCCTCCACCGTCAAATCCACTTTTCCCTCCCATCCCTTCCTCTAAAGAAAAGGGTGGAAAGGGAAAGGGACCAAAATCAGGCCTCCGACACCACACTCATCAGACGAAACGCGGAATTGCCTGTACTTCACGCCTGTCTTCTGTGTGGTCGTAGTATTACACCGGGCAGCCTGCCCATTCGTGCGAAGATGTTAAAGCGGGCTCTACTACAGTACTGTGTATTTAATCTCATTTTTAATCGACATTTGTAATGAAAAGGCTTTGTAACTAGCAAAAATTTTTATTCTAGCAAAAACTATATTAGTGCCTTAAAATATAAGACTGTATATATAAATATATTGCCATTTTAGATGTATTATATTTAACGTCCTTTTTCCATGAAATTTCCTTTATATTCATTCCAAATTATGTTTTAATGTGTTTTGTAAGCCATGTTCCCATTTTCGAAAAACAGTGTAAAATAGTTAAAGAAATAAAAATGCATGTTTATATGAAATTGTGATTTATTTTTGTTGATTATGAGTTTTAAATTAAGTGTTAAGATTGAATGTGGATGGCTACAAAGGTAGAGGAAGACCGAAGAAAGTATGGATGGATTGTGTGAAAGAGGATATGCTTAAGAAAGGAGTGGATGCAGATATGACTGATAGAGATGTATGAAAGTGCAGCACAGACTGTGCCAACCCTCTGTAAGGGATAAGGGCAAGTGGATGATGATGATTATGAGTTTTAAATTAAATTTGCGATATACCAGAATAATTTTTTTAATGAAAGAAACAAAATTTTAATGAAAACATTTTTTACATGACTTAGTATTTTTATAATGTTCTACGTTCATTTTATTTGTACCTTTGATATTCTATCAAGGTAGGCAGAGAATTCAAATTTTTATTCAATTTATGTTTAATAGATTTTTCTATAGACATATCACAAGAACTATATTTTAGGTTTAAGTATAAAAGTGCCTGAATTTTGTAACATATTGTATTATTGGGTTTTGTACTAGTTTTTAGAATGTTATGTTGTATTGAATATGGTAATTATACTTTTTTAAAATATAACTGTTTTTAATTTGTGTTTGAAGACTTTTTTAAACTTAAAACTTCAATTCCGTCCCTAAGTAAATAGAACTTATAATTCCATAATATTTTCCCTATTTTAGTTTCTCAGTTTTTTCTTTAAAAAAATAGATAAAACGATTTGATTTGATTACGGTTATAAAGTAAATGCTTTGTTGCCAGAAACAGTATTTCAATTATTTAGGGTTTTAAGCTTAAAAAAATAGTTTGTCTATGGTGAAAATATTTAGGTTAGAAAACATAAGGAAAATTTTAATTTTCATTCGACTCATCTTAAAGCATAATTATTTATCAAGGTAAAGAAACAAAATAATTGCTTTTAATTGAGTTATTACCTATTTATTAACTACCCACACAATAAACTCAATTGTGCAACGAATCGCATTTTCCCGCCTTCGTTTGACAGCTCGTTCATGAATAAAAATAAACCATTTATTTCTCAGATTATGTTAAATACTTCCTGATTACTAATTGCCTAAAGTTATGCAAAAAACGTGACAATAAAAGAATATTATGGAACATCGCCCATTTACTGCACTGTACTAATGTCCTAGTACTAGCTTTTGTCGGCGATTCCATTGCCGCGGAATTAAAAAAATCAAAAGTTAGTAGCCTATGATGTTACACAGATTATCCTCTACATCTATGCCAAATTTCATCCAGATCCACTCAGCAGTTTAGGCTACAAACTAACAAACGTTCAAACTTTCATATTTAAATAAATAAAATAATATGATAAATGCGAAAGTTTAGATGGATGGATGGCTGTCTGTTAGAGTTTGTAGCGTAAACGCCTGAACGAATCTCGATGAAATTTTGTATAGATGTAGATGATAGTCTGGAATAACGCATAGGCTACTAGCTTTATATATTTTTGAACTCCACGCGGACGGAGTCACGGGCGAAAGCTAGTTTAAAATATTGATAAGATTATTAGGATGTAAATGTTCTTGCCTATGTATGTACGACTGAAACTATCTGTAGAGTTGAAAAAAATCTACACATTTTCATTTGGGAAAAAACTGGAACATATAAAATTAAATTAATTTAATAGATATGCAAGTGAAATTAATAATTCAGCACATTTTGAGCACAACAGTCACGTGGTAATAAAAAAGTCACGATTTTTTAATTAAGACATCTTCATTCTTCAATAATTTTTTAATTTTATTAGTTCGACGTTATTGCAAACACTTTAAGCTGCATTTAATTGTTATGATTTATTTGTAATAATTCTATAAATAATTTCCATAATCAGAAAAAACTTGGTGAATATTTTAAATTATGTCGATATTACAGAAACTTTTTCTTTTATACATATTAATCTTTGACCTTTTTGTTGTCGATGACTATCCCCGTTAATTGGAACGAATATATTAAATGTTATTTCTAATACTTAATTAATATTTTGTAACTCGGATTCGTTACGATATGTTTTTGTCGATTTTTTTCTAAGAAATGTTCCACAACCAGTATACTACAATTCTAGCGAAGCGTCTTATTGCTTTGATCTTTGCGTGTGATTTACAATTTACCCTACGACAGTTTTACGCAATATGTTAACAGCTATGCGAAGGGATTATAAAAAAATTGTCTATGCCCTGATTATGGCTGTATTCCATAGATATTATAAACTAGCTGTTTCCTTGCGGCTTTATCCGCATGAAATTAAAAAAAAAAATTATTGTTTACGTTTGTCAAATTATCAATAGCAAATGTCAAAATGACATGATATTACAATTCTTGCTTTCTTGATGTTGGCAGCAACTTATGGTCTCTTTTCCACATTAGGGTTTTATTCAAAATATATACTTACATATTCGTTCCATTTGACTTTAATGACAGTTAAGACTATCAATATTATTAATTTTAAAACTCTGCATAATCGCAACCATCAATGGTAAAAATCTAGACACAGAATACCACAGTTTATATCTCAGGTCAAAGCTGTAATCTATTTTTGTTTCAATATTCCAGATCCGTCTAGCCGATGATACGCTAATAACAAACAATAATACCGGAGGTTTAACTTTAAACCCCTTATTATATGAAAAGAATGGAAAGGGAACGTGGAGTTGACGGTGAAGGAGACGCATAGGAAGGGGAAATATCCTGTTTATGTGCGTCTCCTCACTTCTCCTCCGTTCATTAAGGGTAGGCCACGCTTCCGCTATTACGAATGTATATGGGCAGCGGACGCTTTGCCATTTCGGAGGATTCAGGTTGTTCGTTTGTCACCATATGCTATAAAAAAATAATAAAACTTTCTCATTTAGACAAAGAATTATTTCTGAAATTCGTTCCGGTTATTGGTACGAAGTGCTGTCGAGTTTTTGAAAGTCATGACATGTTAATAATTCCTACCACTAGGTCATACAGAGGTCAAACAATTGCTTTAAAATATATCAGTTGCAATAAATCCTCGACGCATTGTCACGTGTCGGCCATGACAGTTAATATTTGGCGGGTACAATATAAATTTGTTAATTTTGACACTTGGCCCGG